GCAGGGAGCCCGATGCGGGGCTCGATCCCAGGACCCTGGGATCATGACCTGAGCCGAAGGCAGACGCTTAATGACTGAGCCACCCAGGCGCCCTGGCACCCATTTATAAGACTTGTCAGTCACTGTCATTCCCATCCTTGGGGATAAATGCTGTAGATAATTTTGGGAAAGAAAACAACTGGATGCCATGCTTTCTTTCCCTGTGGTATTGGGACTCAGAATCTGCAACTTGGTATTTGTGTTGAGTATTAGGTACATGTGGCAGCCTGAGAGCTGAAGTAAAAAGTAAATGATAGCACACTGAGGCTGGAGGAAAGGGCCTCAGAGTCATTCACCCAGGCCAGGCTGGGATTTTTGTGGGTAAGGGCCATCTCTGTAGCCCAGAGAGGAGAAGTGACTAGCCCCACGCACAGGCTTGTAGATGTCACCCAGGACCAGTCCTGAAGGCTCCACACTGATTACCCATTTTGGCCTGAGGTTAGCAAGCAAAGAACATGTTCAGACTTCTTCTTCTTTGTCTTCTTTTTTAAAGATTTATTTATTTATTTATTTTTGACAGCGAGAGCGAGCATGTGCATGTACACGAGCAGGCTGAGGGGCAGATGGAGAGGGAGAGAGAGAATCTTAAGCAGGTTCCCTGATGAGCGCAGAGCCCATGGGGCTCTATCCCACGACCCTGAGGTCATGACCTGAGCCAAAATCAAGAGTTGGATGCTCAACTGACTGAGCCACCCAGGTGCCCCAAAATTCAGATTTCTTGACTCTGAAGAGATGTCAAAAGACAAAGCTAAGATGGTGATTTTCAGCATTGGTTCCCCAAGTTGAATATTTGGCTTTGAATGTTGAGAGTGAGGTCTCATTCACAAATGTTAGGTTGGAGCAGAGCTGATTGACCATGGGGGTCTCCCCTCGGTCATCTCAAGTAGTGAGGCCATCATATGCCGATAGCCAGTCCATTTGACTGAAAATAAAATCTTAAAGGCAGAGCTGGTGGGAGCAGCAGTTTGTTGGGCTTGAACTGCAAGAAAACTGTGTATAAAGAGCCTCATAAAAGAGCACAAAATACCTTTCTTTAAATATTTTTCATTGCTTTTTTTTTTTTTTTAAAGATTTTATTTATTTATTTGACAGAGAGAGAGACAGCGAGAGAGGGAACACAAGCAGGGGGAGTGGGAGAGGGAAAAGCAGGCTTCCCGCGGAGCAGGGAGCCCGATGTGGGGCTCGATCCCAGGACCCTGGGATCATGACCTGAGCCGAAGGCAGACGCTTAACGACTGAGCCACCCAGGCGCCCTCATTGCTGTTTTTTAAAAGTAAAATGTGTGTGTGTGTGTGTGTGTGTGTGTGTGGCATAAAAGGCTGGTGACCTTAAATGTTCTTTTGTCTGTTAGGAGATGGCACAGTGCTACTTTTGACCTAGAAGCCAGAGCTGCTCTGAGAATCCCTACTGGTTTGCCTCTTTGAGCTCAAAAAATTGCCCACACAGTTATAAGTTGAACTGGTCCTTTATTAGTGTAAGAATTTCAGTTTTTATAGACCCAGTCTGGATTTGGGTTTTCTTAAAAAAAAAGAAAAAGATGCACTAATGACAAAATTTAGCATCTAAACCTGTGAGGTAATATATTTAATAATTTCCTAGTGCTCAGTATGGTTTGAGAAGGCTGTTTTTATACCAGTTGCCTTCATACCAGTTCTCAGGCTGAACAAGAAAATCCCCCTCATTGCTTTTTTAAAAATATTTTATTTATTTATTTGAGAGAGAGCGAGCATGAGCAGAGGGAAGGGCAGAGGGAAAGGGAGAAGCAGACTTCCCACTCAGCAGGGAGCCCAGCTCAGAGCTTGATCTTAGCTGACTGGGCCACCCAGGTGCCCCCCACCTCATTGCTTCTTAATAGCCATGCTTTGTGTTTGCATGAAGACGGATATTGTTATCCAAGATAGCTTTTTCAGAAAATTTAGCTCCAAATGGCTTTTGGCTGTTGACAAAGAACAGCTAACATTTTCAATAGCTGAAAACTGGTGCCCCAGATGGAGAGTCAGGAAATGAAGCATCTGTAGAGCTGAGCAGAGTTTAAATGCAGCTTTCACCTATTTACTGTGCGATCTTCCCTAAGTTAATTCACTTCTCTGAGCTTCAGTTTGTCTGTACAAAAGGATTAGTACCTACCTCATACCTGTCTTATAGCAAGGGTTGGAATAAAATGAAACACTGTATTTGTCTGACTTAATAAGTTTTATCTTTTTATTCTGAAGACTAGTAATAAAAAAAAGAAAAATCTACTGAAGGCAGTTCCAAAAAAGAAGTTCTAAAATTGTTTTGGCCAAGTGCCATCATCTTTCTAAATTTTTAAATAATTTTAGGGGCGCCTGGGTGGCTCAGTCAGTTAAGCACCTGTCTCCTGCTCAGGTCATGATGCTTCTCCCTCTCTCTCTGCCACTTCCCCTACTTGTGTGCACTCTCACTCTCTCTCTCTGTCAAATAAATTTTAAAAAATTATTAATTTTAAAATTTACATACAGTAGAATTCACTCTTTTTAGTGTACAGTTCTGTGAGTTTTGACAAATGCATACTATCATATAACTACCAACAAACACATCAAGCAAGATAAAGAACATTTCCATTACCCCCCAGATTTTTTTGTGTGGTCCCTTTGTACTCAGCCCCACCCCCTGTCCTCTGGCAACCCGCTGATCTGTTCTCTGTCCTTCTAGTTTTGTCTTGTCCCAGCATGTCATGCACATGGAATCATACAGTATGTAGCTTTTTGAGTCTTACTTCTTTTATTCAGCATATAATGCATTTGAGATTCATCCAAGTTGTTAAATGTTCATTACTTTTTATTGCTGAGTTGCATTCCATTGTATGTATGTATTAATTTGTTTATCCCTTCACTAGTTGCAAGATATTTGGGGTGTTTCCAGGTTTTGGCAACTATGAATCAAGCCGCCATAAACATTTACATAACGGGTTTTTGTAAACATTGGTTTTTATTTCTCTTGAGTAATTTCCTAGGCATGGAATTGCTGGGTCAGATGGTAATATCTTTTTAACTTTTATTATTATTATTTTTTAAAGATTTTATTTGTTTATTTTTAGAGAAAGAGAGTGTGTGTGCCTGCAAGCAGGGAGAGGAGCAGAAGGGGAGGGAGAGGGAGGGAACAAGAATCTCAAGCAGACTCCCTGCTGAGTGTGGAGCCTCATGTGGAGCTTGATCTCACCATGACCCTGAGATCACAACCTGAGCTGAAACCCAAGAGTCCAATGCTCAACTGACTGAGTCATCCAGGTGCCCCATTAATATTATTTTTAAAAGTTTATTTATTTTAATAATCTCTACACCCAATGTGGGACTCAAACTCATGACCCTGAGATCAAGAGTTGCATGCTCCTCCAACTGAGCCAGCCAGGCACCCCTGTCTGTTTAACTTTTTTTTGTCTAACTTTTAAAGAAACCACAAAACTATTTCCCAAAGTGGTGCACGATTCTGCATTCCTACCATCAATGGATAAGGTTTTCCATGGCTCTACATCCATATTCACACTTGGTGTGGACTTGTCATTTTAGCCATTCTAAGAGGTCTGTAGAGGTAATTTCCCTCATGGCTGAGGATGTTGAGCATCTTCTCCTGTGCTTATTTGCCTTCTGTATATGTTTGGTGAAGTGTTCACATCTTTGGTCCTATTTCTCATCAGGTTGTTTGTGTTCTTGTTCTTGAGTTTTGAGGTCTCTATATATTTTGGGTCAAGTCCTTTGCCATATAAGTGATTTGCAGATGCTTTCTCCCATGTTGTGGCTTGTCTTTTCAAAGATTCCACAAGGGATTTATACATATTTATTCTTGTTATAAAAGATTCACATGACACACAAATACCTAGAATAAAAACTACAAGTTCTGATTTACCTCCCACTACCTCCTCCACCGTTTTCTCGCAGATAGCCACTGTTGACAGTTGGGTGAGGATTTTTTCAATCTTTTCTATAGTATCATAATTTTCTAGTAAATATATCTGTTTAGAAAGGGATATTTAAATATTGATATGTACTTTAAAATTAGTTCTGTTACTTTTCAGGCAAAAAGTTGCATTTCAGAGAACCTTTCTGTTTTTCCTTTCAGACCACCTATAGGGAAAATCATTGTTTTTCTCTTAAAAGTGGTGAGTTTTGATGTGTCCTAGGTCATATTCCAGAAAGCCATGATTTGGAGAAGAAAATTCCAGATGATAAGGATGACCGATGAGTGAAATAAACTTTAAGTGGGTCATTTTGTATTTGCAAAAGATTTCTCCAGTTCGTTGAAATGACTTTGAAATGTGTCCATTTTCTTACAATAAGTGGTGGGTTGCTTTTTGCTGGTGTGTGTGTGTGTGTGTGTGTGCGCGCATGTATGTGAATGCTAACAGTGTCATTGGGCAAAGAATGGTATTGATAACCTCAGAGCAAAGTTTTGGCTCATTCCCAAATTTTAGATTGCTCATTTTTCTTGGATTGACTCTTTTGTGCTATTTGGAATATTCAGCATAGAATTTGTACTTGGTTCACATTTTTATTTTTAGCTATAATTTTGGGCTCTTTCAACCATAACTGGCCAGAACTTTTTTTCTGCAGAATGAGCCTTATTAAAACAACCTGTTTTCATCTTTCCATAGGTATGAATCCTAGGACTCAGAATAAGGATTCTCTAGAGGACAGTGTTTCTACCTCTCCAGACCCAAGTAAGAAGGGGCAGCTGATTAGGGTGGGGTCAGGGCGGGGGTGGTCAGAGCATGAGGAAGCAAGGGGGAACCCTGTGGGCAGTCCACACATCTCTGGGGTACCAGAAGACAACGTGGTAAGGGAAAACTCTCCAGCCTCTCCAGTGGAAAGTGAGAGGGGAGTGGCCAGGTAACCTGTTCTGGAATGTGATTCAGGGCACGTGAGAATGGTAACGGAATTCCCATGAGGTCCTTACACCCGTGCAGAGCTGGCTTTAGCCCTTAAAAGGCCTTGTGATGGCTCTGAGGAACAAGGGAATAAGAGGGCCTGGAACTGTTTACAGACCTGTAGTTGAAATTGTTTGACTGGGTTGCTTTTTTTTTTAATCATCTTTATCTATTGAAATATCTGTGCAGGAAGAGCACATCTAAATGTCCACAATAGCAAAGTACCAGAAAAAAATCCTACCACCCAATAGACTTTATTTTACTTAGCTATAACCAGTAGAGATATATTAAGTCTTTTTTCCCCCACTTATGATTACCTTAATAACCGTTTTGCTATTTCTTCGGGCCCCTTGTATTAGTCATTTTTTTTTTAAGATTTTATTTATTTTTTTGACAGAGAGAGACACAGCGAGAAAGGGAACACAAGCAGGGGGGAGTGGGAGAAGGAGAAGCAGGCTCCCCGCTGAGCAGGGAGCCCGATGCGGGACTTGATCCCAGGACTCTGGGATCATGACCTGAGCCGAAGGCAGACGCTTAACTGACTGAGCCACCCAGGTGTCCCGTATTAGTCATTTTTAATAGCAGTATCAAACACATCACATCCCAGTTTGAATAATCATTTATTATTGGCGATCATTTGGGTGGTTTCTAGTTTCTTAGCAATAATGTAGAATGCAGGTATAATGCGTGATGCAGTGGGTATATCTTTTCTTTCCCTTCACATCCTTGGGATATATTTCCCCCGAAGTATGGTTGGGAAGTTGATTATTTTCCAGAAAGCTTCCAGCAATGAATAGATGAGCCTATTTCTTCTGTACAACCCTAGCACTAGATTTTGTAATCCATGTTTATCATTGTTAATGGTATTGATGTGGGTCCTCCTCAGAGGCCCTTTTTATAGAGCCTGAAGATACTGGAGTTAGAAAAGAGGCCACAGTCTTTTCCCAGGGAAAGAACACCATTAAACTAAGAATCAGGAGCTTTTCTCACCATGGGATTTGGGCCCAGGCATTTGAATTCTCTGTATCTCGGTGTGTACCCAGCAGAAAACATTTCTGAAAGATATTTATGATCCTGAAGGACAGGAAGCTAATGAGAGTCAGAATGATCTAAGAGGGCATAAAGATATGACTGTCTTCTGCTTCTGGCTTTCCACTGTGGTTTTGATCTGGTGTCTTCCTTCTGCTCCTGGTCCTAAAACAAGGAAGTAGGAATAAGCTCATCCCTTCATCTGGCATATAGGGAAATTGGGGTGATCAGTTAGGTTCTTTTTGGGTTGTGTTTTCAATTCTTGAAGTATTAATAAGTTAACAAGACCTGTGTATAGTCCAACTCATAGAATAAGAGAGTGGAATGGTGGTTGCCAGGGGCTTGAGGGGAGGCAGAAGTGGGGAGTTGCGGATCAGTGGTGTAAAGTTCCAGTTATGCATGATGAATAAATCCTAGAGATCTGTACAGCACTGTGCCCAAGTTAATAATACTGTGTTGTACCCTTAAACATTTGTTAAGAGAGTAGTTCTCATGTTAAGTGTTCTTACTACACTAAGACAGAATTCAAACACACAAACAAAATACCCCAGACCTGTGTAGACCATGGAGTTAGGCCTCTTGTAGGTCAAATCATCTTTCCCAAGGCAGTGGTGGCTACATGGGGCATGTTTCCCACTACGACTTAGCACACGGGTCCTCTTCTTGTCCTTTAACTCTGGGTTCAGTGGGACTCTGTTGTATTGGGTAGTGTGTGTCTCTGTCATTATATGGTGGAAAGATTCCTAAGCAGAGAGGCTTCTGATCATGTAACCTCTGGGAGGTTTGGCTTGGCCAGGTGTTTAAAGGGCTCAATGATGTTGCAGTCCCTGCTCCAAGGAGGCCATGTGAGGGCTGATGAGACAACAGCGGTGTATCACGCTGTAAGCCACATTAGCACTGTGCAAAAGATAAGGTGTTGAAGGTGTCCCTTGCTTGAGACTAAGATACAAAGGCATGGAGTATTTCTGCTTCATATTGCCCCCTTGTCTAGAGATTTGAAAAATAATCTTTGCTTAAATTACTTAAAGAGATAACTGCCCTATTACCTTGACTCAGTGATTCTCAACTGGGGAAGGATTTTGCTCCCTGGGGGGACATGGGGCAACGACTGCAGACGTTCTTGGTTTTTACAATCAGGAGATGCCACTGGCATCTAGTAAGTACAGTCCAGGGATGCTGTCCAACATCCTGTAATACAAAGCATAGCCCCTCATGACAGAGGATTATCCAGTCCAAAATGTCAGTGGTGCCAAGGTGGAGAAACCCTGCTTTAACCAAAGAGCAGGCAACTCAGGACACCATGTGATCGGGCCCGCTCTGCTGATTGCAGCTTTCCTTTCTAGATTGTTAAACTCTGTCTCTTGAAGTTCTGGCCTTGTGACCTTCCCAGACATCCTTCCTTGATTTCTCCTCCTACCCTTTTGGATCTGTGACTTATTTTTACAATTCTGAAAGTATTCCTAAATTCTGCTACCATGTGCTGTTCGCTCCCAAATCTGGCTGAGCTCTTCTTTCCCTACCAGCCACTCTGCAGTCCTCCAGAGAGGCTCTGGCTTGAGCCCTCGGAATGTTGATTTCTTCCACATGTAACTGCCTGCGCTGCCCTGCAGTAACCTCACTGGCATTGTGGCTGTAGCTTAAGATCGGCAGAAAATGAAAAGTACCAGCTGTGAATCCCATTTGCATGATGGGATTGGATGAGCACGTGCACTGCATTGTCTAACAAACTCTGTTTCTCTCTTTCTCCCTCCCCCCACCCCCTTTCTTCCTCTCTGTCCATTTCCTGGCAATGTTATCACCGGTCACTGTGAACTCCTCCCCCCTGCCCCGCCCACGTCCCCCGCACCTGCCCTGGTGACCGCACGCACCTTTCTCCTCTGTTACACGAGGCAGTTCTGACACTGTCTGCTCCCCCTGTAGTGCCAGGCTTCTGTTGCACAGTTGGAGTGGACTGGAAGTCTCTCACTACTCCGGCGTGCCTCCCCCTCACCACCGACTACTTCCCCGACCGCCAGGGCCTGCAGAACGACTACACGGAGGGCTGTTACGATCTCCTTCCGGAAGCAGACATCGACAGGTCGGTGTCAGAGGAGGGCTTCGGATGGGCGTCCAGGCACTGCATTCTCAAACCTGTGTCTTCCTTTTCTGGTTAGAGAATCTTATGAAGCAAAGAACTGTCATTTTTTTCTTTAGGGTTCTATTGACATGCCTTCTCTAGCCATTTCTCCTCACGGGTGCTTTCTCAGATTTTTCTGTGGTGGTTTTTCTGGACACACTAGATCTGATCTTTTTTTCTAAGATTAGCTATTTGAGCTATTCTAGGAATGGCTGTTAGCTATTACCTGCCTTCTTCTTCTGCCTCTTTGAACTGATCATGTCTCCGCAAACTGGTTTATAGATTGTTAGTTTTATGAACCACCATGGAATGGTCATCAGGGCTGACTTGTGGAGTCAAAGCAAAACAGAGGATGGGAGTGTGGACTCTTGAGTGTCACTCCGCCCTGGACCAAGCATGTCCATGTGAACAACCGTCTGTTTCCTCAGGAGGGACGAGGAGGGTGTGCAGATGACGGCCCAGCAGGTGTTTGAAGAGTTCATCTGCCAGCGTCTCATGCAGGGCTACCAAATCATAGTGCAGCCCAAGGCGCAGAAACCCAACCCTGCCGTCCCGCCCCCACTGAGCAGCAGCCCACTGTACAGTCGAGGTGAGTTGTGCTCCTTGGACTTGTATTTTTTCTTTTCTACTGAATTTGTGCAAGTAGCTTCTCAAGATGGTAGGGAATAGATAAATTCGGGAGTAATTTTTCAACACCAAAGTTTTGCTTTCTGAATTTTACTTTTACATGAGGAATAAAGTCTCTGCTAGGCCCAGATTTATCTTAAAACTCTCTTTAATCTACTGTTCTCCTTTTAAGGAAGGGGATATGATCCAGTTCAGGAATGTCACAGCCTGGCTTTGGCAACACCTACCAATAGCAGGGAGCTGAGCCAGGCGTGAACTATCAAAGTACATTGTGAATATTTTAGACCCGATATTTATTTCTAGCACAGTAGTTGGCACACAGCAGGTTCTCAGATGTTACCTAAACCTGGAATTTATACTCCCCCCGCCTCCCCCCCCTCAGCCCCGTTATGGATGCATCTTCTTCTTTTTGTCACTGAAGCTTACCACGATGAAGCAAGAATGGATCATCTGTGAGTGGTAGAGACTAGTAAGTGACAGAGACTCAGTGAGGCCGATTGAGTTGCAGCCAGGCTCTGGAGAGCTCTTCTAAAATAAGTCAGGTAGAGAGAATAAAGTGTGGGTGCCTAGAATCAAGAAGCAGTGATCGCTTCCCAGAACAATCCATGAGTAACCAGTAGTCTCTTGCTTCCTCCTTGTCGCTAATGAGCCTCCCCACTCTCCTAAACTCCCAGCTCAAAGCCTTAGATCATCTTTGGCTCCATTAAAGTGCTTTGGGCCAGAGGATCAAAGTAGTGTGGACCTGTGAGGGGGAGCTTGGTGGTCCATCCAGTTCAGGTCTTGTTGCTTATGATGAAGCTTTTCATGTTCTAGACTGCACTGAATAGTAATCTTCCTGAGTACCAGGACTGTCGGCTTCATGCTTTTATCCTCTATAATGGAAACCATTGTGCCTGGCGTACAACAATATGGGTTGATAAATATAGGAATTCATTCATTCATTCAACAGTATTTTTGAAGCTCCCACTCTGTGGGGCATTTAGTGAGGAAAAATAACATAAGTCAAACTATGAAATATAATTACTCGTTGTGATAAAGATTGTGAGGGAAAAATCAAAGGGCTATGAGAATATTTAATACAGGACTTGATCTGGTCTGGAGGGTCAGGGATGGCTTCCTTGAGGAGGTGATGTTCGAGGTGAGACCTGAACTGTGTGAAGGAGTTACTAGGAAGAGAAGCAGGTTGGGAGTGGTGGGCAGGAGTAGGTAGGAAGAGCATGCCAGGCAGAGGGATTAGTATGTGCAAAAATCCTGTGGCAGGAGGCACTGTGATACTTTCTGAGCACCAAAAAGAAGACTGGTGGGGTCGAGTACAGGGAGTAAGCCAGAGATGTGTCCAGACATGTCAGGAGACCCAGGCCTCACAGGGCCATGTGAAGGATTTTGTTCTTTATCCCAAGAATAGTGGAATGAATTCACCTTTAGTGTCAATGGCCCCATCCAGCCTTCCTACCTGCTTTTCTCTAGAATAGCTGATCAGTTTCCCTTGGTGGTTCATAATTCCTCTGGCATCCAGTTCTGCTCTGGCTGATTCATGAGCCTTATGTCATGGCTAGCTGGCCAGAGTCTACTCACCTTACTGTACCCTTTCTGGCTGTTTTTCCTCCTTCAATAAATTTAATCCTTTTATTTCTATAGTAACAGAAATGGTATCGTTGTTATAACTACTGGAAAAGTGACCACCATAAGTGAGATCACATCTGATTGAAGATTGGTTGACTACAGGTTATGAGACGGACCCTGTTTCAGTAGTGAACAGAACAGCATCAGCCCTTGTCCTCCAAGTTTATTGTCTACTGGGTGAGATAGTCGTTGAACTATTAAACCACAAGTATTTATTTGATTACAGATTGTAAAGAGTGCTGTGCAGGATAAAAACAGGAAGTAATTTAGAGTGGGGTTGGTACTATGCTAGGTGCTCATGAACATTATCCCATGACCTTGTCTTCCTGATAGCCAGCAGGGGGTGGTTCCAAGAAAGAAGGAATGCAGGATGGGGGGCAAGCCCTCTTCCTTCCTTCCTTCCTTCCTTCCTTCCTTCCTTCCTTCCTTCCTTCCTTCCTTCCCTCCCTCCTTCCTTCCTTTTCTTTTTTTATTAAAGATTTTATTTATTTGAGAGAGAGAGAGTGAGAGAGCGCACAAGTGGGGGGAGGGGCAGAGGGACAAGCAGACACCCTGCTTGACGCAGGGCTTGGTCCAGGACCCTGAGATAATGACCTGAGCTGAAGTCAGACGCAAGCCCACTTTCTAGTTATGGAAAGTGAGACTTGGAGATTTGGTACCCAAGGTCACACCGCTGGCAAATGAAAGTGCTGGGGTTTAACCCAGGGTCCTCTGAGTCAAAGCCTGGCCTCTTATAGGCAGCCTGTCCCTCGCTGCTATCACCTAGGAAGTTTCCACATTCCCGATGAAGGTCCTTTCAACCTCTGCCACCCTCTCTCATCCTGACAACTCCCATGCTGCCTACGCTGTGTGACTGTTTCTCAGAACCACACGAGGGGACTGTTTTATCTCGAGATCATGGGAATCTTGTCTTGGTTCTCTTGTCCATCGAGGCATAGTGTCACTCTCTTGAAAGCTTGTATTCTTCTCGATTCCTCATAATTTCCCTCTTTCTGTTGCACAACTCAGTTCAACTAATATTTTTCAAATACCTGCTGTGGGCACGGCACTTTGTTAGATGCTATGGAAAATTTAAAGACAAACAAGATTGGGTCCCCGGACTCCTGGAACTTCCAGTTTGTCCGGCTGTGAGACACGCACATGTGGAGCCACATCCAGGGTACAATTCAGACAGCTGATGGGATCTGTTAGCTTTCTGGAGGAAGTGGCCTTTGACGGTGACTTTAAATGACCCATAGGATCTTGGTGGTGGCTCAGGAAGAGAAGGCAGAAAAAGCAACCCGAGCAAATGTTTGGAGAAGAAAGGACAGTAGTCCTTTAAGACTGATGCAGGGTTATTGTGGTGTGGGAGTCATGGAAGCTGACGCCAGGTCGGCTGCCACCATGGGGTGAGGACCTCCACTGCTGGGGCGGCAGCTTGTGCTTGAGCGGAGCAGAGTTCCATTTCAGTCCTGGAGTTGACTCTTGGCCTATTAACATCTAATCTAGAACTTTCCTTCTCAGAGGCCAAGGAATCAAGCTGTTCATTCTTTGAGTGCGTCTTCTGGATGCTGTCTGCACTTCTGGGCTCTAATCTGCTGTTGGCTGGTTTAGTGACAGAAAATTCTGCCAACTTTAGGACTTTTTTATTTTTAACCAAAAATAAGTCTTTTCCATGAAACCGTCCCTCAAGAGAAAGAGTTGCTTCTTTTGTTTCTCCTTTTCTGACTGTATATGGAAGAGAAGCTATTGCCTGTTAAAAGAATGTTCCTCAGCCAGATAGAGGATATGATTTTCCCCCCCCCATTAGGCCTTGTGTCCCGAAACCGCCCTGAGGAGGAGGACCAGTACTGGCTGAGTATGGGCAGAACGTTCCACAAAGTGACGCTGAAGGATAAGATGATCACAGTGACACGTTACCTTCCCAAGTGAGTCCTTGGAAATTTCAGGTTTTCAGCTACTGTCCTGAATTGTGTCCACTCTGAACTTCTCTTTATAACACATACTGTGCACCTAGTGAATATGGAATTAGTTATGTGACACATAATTAAAACCAAGGTAGGTTGAGTGGTTGGTTTTCCTTTTCTTGGAATTACTTGTTTGTTTTCTAGGGTTATTTTACCGTTGTAGCTCACCTGCTTCTAAAAGGGACTTGACTCAGCTTATAATGTTTAGCCTGATTCTTAGCAAGCCAATAAGAAATAAAGAATGGGAGGATAAAAGAATGACAGAGTTTAAGAACTGAGAAATTTCCATTACCAGTCCCTTGGGATGAGTTTGTTACCGCACTTTAGGATTGAATGCCAAGGATGTTGCTAACTGTATTGAGATGGAAAGGTCCAGAAGAAAGGGGTTGGGTGGAGGGAGTGATTCTCTTTTGGACTTCTGGGCATGCCCTTTGTTTTTCAGGTACCCTTATGAGTCTGCCCAGATCCACTACACCTACAGCCTCTGCCCTTCCCACTCAGACTCGGAGTTTGTGTCTTGTTGGGTGGAATTCTCCCATGAGCGGCTGGAGGAGTACAAGTGGAATTACTTAGATCAGTATATCTGTTCGGCCGGCTCTGAGGACTTCAGGTCAGAGAACATACTTTGGCTTTCCATCCAGCTACCTTGGGTGTGCCCAACTTTTAACACATCTGTCCTTTTTTTCTGATTACAAAATGATGTTTGTTTTAGAAAACAAGAACAAAAGCACATCTGCATTAGTTAAAAAACTCAGTGACAAGGGTGGTGGTGTTGGTTGCACAACAATGTGGATGTACTTAATGGCATAGAATCGTATACTGAAGGATTGTTAAAGTAGTACATTTTGTTATGCACGTTTTACCACGAAACAACAACGACAGAAACTTCAGTGATGAAGTGCTCTTTGATGGAATGTCAGTGTAGATCATGTTCTGAACCTTTTCCTGACTACCTGTGGTGCTGATTTTTGATTTTTAATTTCTGTGTGTCATTTATGATTGTGATGATAAAAAACCACAACCCCATTGGGTCTGGGTGCACAGAACCAACCATCCTGACATCTCTGGGATGTAAATTAAAAGTACCCTTTGTGCTCTTCCTCTAGAGCTTGTGTTTCAAATGAATCCATGAGATGTAGCATCAGACGAACACTCTCTCAAGGGGAGATGGCCCCTCACATACCAACTGCAAAGACAGGCTTGAAATGGGACCTTTACTGGGAGTGCTTTTTTTTTTTAAAGATGTACTTCTTTTATTTATTTTTTTTCCTATTAAAAAAATTTAAAAATTTTTGTATTGTTATGTTAATCACCATACATAAGATGTACTTCTTTTAGAGAGACAGAGAGGGAGAGCAGGGGGGAGGGGCAGAGGGAAAGGGAGAGAAGCAGACTCCCCACTGAATGCAGAGCTCGATGAGGGGCTTGATCTCCTGACCCTGAGATCATGACCTGAGCCGAAACCAAGAGTCAGACACTCAACCGACTGAGCCACGCAGGTGCCCCGTGAGTGCTTTCATGACCTGCTTTTGTTCTCCACCACCCTCTGTCCTTCCTTTGGCCCTTCACAGCTTAATTGAGTCTCTGAAGTTCTGGAGGACCCGTTTCCTGCTGCTGCCAGCCTGTGTCACTGCCACTAAGCGCATCACAGAAGGGGAAGCCCACTGCGACATCTATGGGGACAGGCCCCGGGCAGACGAGGATGAGTGGCAGCTCTTGGATGGCTTTATCCGCTTTGTGGAGGGTTTGAACCGGATCCGCAGGCGACATCGCTCGGATCGCATGATGCGGGTCGGGCTCCTTGGGCCCCTTGGGGACTGTGCTTGGTCTCTTCCTGTCTCGGGGGCCTCTCTCTGGCCGGTTTATTTACTCATGGGGTTGGGATATGTCTGAGGACACCCAGCCAACTAAGGGCAGATCTGGAATTCTGGGTGTGTGTATACAGTTCTATAAATTTTAACGGATGTATAGATTCATGTAACCACTACAACTATAATCAGGATACAGAGTAGTTCTGTCACTTCCCAAAAAACCCCTCATGCTACCCTTTATAGTCACACTTTGCTCCCACCTCTAACCCCTGGCAGCCACTGGTCTGTTCTCTGTCACTTTACTGTTGTCTTTTCCAAAAGTCATATGCACGGAATCGTATAATGTAATCTTTTGAGAAGCTGCCTTCTTTCACTCAGCACAATGCCTCTGGGATTCATCCAAGTTGTCGCTCGTCTCAGTAGTGCATTCCTTTTTAGTGTGAGTAGTGTTGCATCACCAACTGTGTTTTTAACCCCAAGTTCAGTGTTCTTCCCTGCATACGAGCTACGCTTTGTCCACAGCATTGCTTATGATTAGAAACATTTCAAAAAAAAAGAAAGGAAGGAAGGAAGGAAAAGAAAGAAAGAAACATTTCCAAAAGACCGTGCATGGTGGAAAGAGCTTTGGTCTTGAAACCAGATGATTAAAGCTTGACCTCCAGCTCCAGTGGGATTCGGGATAAGTCACTTAACTTCTCTGGAACTCAGTTTCTTCTTCCATGACTTAGATAAAACATTATTTACTTTCTAGATCCAGGACAAGGGTGAAATGATCTGTGGAATCCACCTCAAAGAGGCAGTTTGTTTTGAGTCAACAGGCATTCGAGCCTTCAGCTCAAGCAAAAAGCAGTTTTCAGCATTTACCGAGTAACAAGGGCCTGTGTTGCTGCCTCTGTGAATTGGATTCCCAGAGAGCCTGACACACAACAGATGCAGCAGGCATGCTCTGAGCTGTGAGTGGCATCCACTGAGGGAGCCCACTTGGGCTGATGGCCTTGTTTTCTCTTCTCTGCTTTAGAAAGGGACCACCATGAAAGGCTTACAGATGACCGGGCCCATTGCCACACACTCCCTTGAGTCGACCGGCCCCCCGGTTGGGAAGAAGGGAACCTCAGCTCTGTCTGCCCTGTTGGAGATGGAGGCCAGTCAGAAGTAAGTTCCTGCTTGGGGAGAGACTCGTCCCCACCACACAGGCTCCACAGGTTTTCAGTACCCCACCTTGTGAGTGGGGGTGAAATATGATTTCTATCTGCACGGAGCCTGAAATTAAGAAAAAGATGCATACATGAGCAGAGAACTGGGTTAATACCTGGTAAGTGTCAAATAACATGAAATATGCCAGAAATTATAAACTTGCAGTCTGGGGCTTAATTTGAACTACAAATACATTTGCTTTGGCCCACAAAGTGAGGTTTCTTTGTTTATTTGTTTTTTTTAATAGATTTTATTTTTTAGAGCAGTTGTAGGTTCAAAGCAAACTTGAATGGAAGGAAGAGCTTTCTCATATACTCCCTGTCTCCCACACCTGCATAGATTCCTCCATTGTCAACACCCGCAGCAGAGTGGGCCATTTGTTATAATTGATGAAGCTGCACTGACACATCATCATCACCCAATGTCCACAGTTTACCTTACAGGTCACTCTTGGTGGTGTATATTCTGTGGGTTTCAGACAAATTTGTAATGACATGTAGCTACCATTAAAGAGTAGTTTCACTGCCCTAAAGGCACAAAATATTTTTAAAATATCTGAGCCATGTTTTTTTAGTTTGAAGATTTCAAATACAAATTTGGATTTTATATGAAATTATATAGTATATACAACATAATACACGATTATATTATATATAAAACAATATATTACAGGGCGCCTGGGTGGCTCAGTTGGTTAAGCGACAGCCTTCGGCTCAGGTCATGATCCTGGAGTCCCAGGATCGAGTCCCACATCGGGCTCCCTGTCGACGGGGAGTCTGCTTCTCCCTCTGACCCTCCCCCTCTCATGTGCTCTCTCTCTCTCATTTTCTCTCTCAAATAAATAAAATCTTTAAAACAACAACAATATATTACAGATAATATAGCACAACACTGTATTACAGATAATAGATAAAATCCAGCCTTTTGAGAAATAGAAGAGCCTCAGTTATAGTACTGGGTCCACATGCATACCCAGCCATGGGAAGGCTGGTCCTTTAGAATGGGCACGTGCCCTCTGGTTTACCGGAGAACCAGCACACCCTCTAGTCTTGGACTTGCCTTATTCCCTCAGGCGTGTGACCTGGCCAGCTTCTCTAGGCATTTGTGTGGTCCCTTCCGAAACATTAAGTGCTGCATTTCCCAGGACACTGGTAGGGCCACATCTTGCCTGGGAGGGCAGTGACAGCATCCCAGGAGGGGGGATTTGAGTTGGCCTTGCAGGAAAGGAAGCATCTATACAGAGGTGCGGGGGGTGGGGGGGAGCAGGGGCGGGACTTGGGCAAGAGGAGAAAGTACCTCTGTGTGCAGGTGGCACCCACTCTGGGAGTCTTCCCTGCCCCTTCGTCCTCCCAGCCAACTCAGATTCTGTGCTTCCCAGCATCCTGGGCCGACATCCATCAGAGCCCTTTCCAGAATTCTCCAAGGTTTGCTCACAGTCCCCCTGGCTTGCCTGTGCTCTGAGAGTAGAGGCTGTGGGTTGTGCCTGGCACATAGGATGTGCACAGTAAGTAGTCATGGAATGATAGAGGAAGGGGTGCTGAGGGTCCCTGTACAGATGTTGGGGGAGGCTAGAGCTTGTCTGTCTGGGCTGTGTGGTGCCCAGCAGGAACCTGTGCACATTACGCTTTCCAGAAGTCACATTGAGTGAGCTTGAGTCATCGTGGAGATGCAGTTGGACCGACAGGTGGGAAGTTGGATGCCAAGCTGTCCTTACACATTCTCATAGCAAGAGGGATCCTTTGCAAGTTTTTTTATTTTAATGGAAAATTTAAATTTTAATGGAAAATTTCAAACAGATAAACTAGGCTAGTATGATAAATCCCTGTTTACCTGTCACATGGCTTCGATGATTATCAACTCATGGCCAATCTTATTTCATTTATTGCAACATATGCATTGCTCTCACCTTCCCTTTTTATTCTTTATTAAATTTCAGGCATCATATTTCTTCATCTATAATATTTCAGTATGTGTCACTGAAAGAGAAGTACCCCTTTAAAAAAAAAAAGAAGTACCCTAATACTGTAATTTGTCTAAAAGGTTATAGTCATTCCTTAATATCATGAAATATCCAGTCAGTGTCTTTGGTAGAAGTGTTTTCTGAGATGAGCCCCATGTATAGGAAGGCCTGGGAGGTGGGCCCCAAGAGGCAGAGACCCTTTGGCAGGCTCCTACTAGTCAGGCAAGAGGCCACAGAGGCTGGAGAGAGGGTGATAAAGAATGGAAAGGAAGGGACACTGGGGGGTGTGGGCAAATGTTGGGCTCATTACTGAGGGAACTGGGTCTGTTTACTTTGTCTGACCAAGGGAAGAGCCCAGAACTCAGCCTGGCAGGTTCTCCCTGTAACTAATCACAGATCTTTCCCGCTGGAAAAAAGAACAAGGAACATATGTTGCTGGGAGCGGTGTGAAGCTGGGGGTGGGGGAGATCTTATTTATAATTTGTCAGTGAGTCATCGTTTAATATGCTCCAAGGAGCCTCTTTCTGCTCAGACTGGAAGAGGAAGGGTAGTTGGGGTGGTAGTGTCCCCCCATGTGTAGGGAAAGATTCTCAGCTAACCTCACAGCAGGAGGCAGGACAGAGAGACCCGAGATTTATTCTCTCCCCAGATGACTGCTCTTGGGTGACTTGCTATGTTTTCTCAATGCAGGAGGTAGAGCAGAGGGAGCCAGACCTTTATATAATGTTTGCTCACAGTGTTTTTTATTTGTGTGCTTTTCTTTTGCTTTTGCAGCACCAAGCAGATCCAGTTTTATTTATTATGAAAAACAATGCTATAGCGATATGGAAAAGAATTTATAAAATTTCATCTGTAGTCCTGCCATCTTACCATAAACTGTGTCTGTTTCTTCCATTTCTCTTATAGTCTGTATCTGAAGTCATGTACGTTTTGTCAGGCTCTTGTGGAAGATAGAGAGAGGCCCCAGAAGTCTCAGCCTTCTGCTCATTGTCTGCATGGCTGGGACCAGTCTGGGCAGCTGGTTCTGGCTCAGCTGCTCCTAATAGATGAGGATAACCTGATGACAGCCAAGTCAGGACAGAGACCACCAAAAGGCTTTTGTCACTGCTTCCGTGGAGGCTTGGCCGGCAACTCCGTCCCGGCAGAAGGCAGTGTGCCTCCGTGTATGTTTTCACATATACATATGTATAGTATAACTGCTTGTTTTCGGGCAGGTTCCCTTCTGAGCCATTAGACAGGGAGCCTCCAAGGGCAAGGACAGGGTTTTACTCGCCTCTGAATCCCTGAATCTTAGTCCACAGGTCCCCACAAGGAAGGCAACTCAGTAAATGGGGATTGTCATGTGCATCTGAGGGGACACGGGAGGGGTAACCAGGGCTTCCTGTCCCCGCAGCCTTGGGGAAGTACGAGAGAATGTTACAGTGTGCATTTGTGGATGAGGCTCAGAGGAAAACACACTTCAATGTGATAGAGACAGTGTGGTGTAGGGACATGGGAAAGAATTGAGCATTTGTTCCGCTTTTCCTCTATGAATTATACCTCAGAGTAAACAAGTAATTGGTGTAGGGAGGTTTGTCTTTGTTCAGTATTGCAGCTCATAGCTTCAGAAGGAATGATAGACTATTACCATGTGTGATCTTTAACAAACTTGTGGATCTAACAGAGTTCACCAGTGGCCACTAATATCACCAGAGAGAGAGGGCCAGACATTATAGGCCTCCAGATAGAAATACACAACACCACTTAAGAGTTCTTGCCCAAAATTGAACCTGAACTGCTCAAGCCATTAGATAGAACTTCTAGTTCTCAGGAAGTAAGTAAACAAGGCACAGAGGAACATGATAAACAGTAAAGGGAGAAAATCAGCACATCCACACTGTGAATTTACAGGACAAATGAGCTACTTTCTTCGACAAATAAATTGTAAAGATAAAGAGAAATGAAGAGGAATTTATGGCTTAAAAGAGAATTAAGAGACATAACTTATTGCAGCGTAGGGACCTTAGTTGAAACCTGTTTTGAACAAACTATACAAATGATTTTGGGGAGACAATTGGTGAAATATTTGATATTAGAAAATTAAAAAATGTTCAAGTGTGTTGGAATTGTGGTTATGTTTTTTCAAAAGTTCTTTTAGGGATACAGTGCATACTGAAGTTCTTATGGATGAAATGATATGTATGAGTTTTGCTTCAAAATAATTGGGGTGTGTAGATAAGGGGTATAGATGAAACATGATTGGCTCTAAGTATATAATTTGGGGGGCTGGGTTTGTAGGGACTCATTATCTTAGCCTTTTTACTTGTGTTTGTGTTTGAAATTTTTCCATAATAAAAAGCAGGGGGGAAAAAAGAGTATAACAGGTTACCATGGAAACTGATTTTTAATCTCTGGTATGAGATTGCTTGACAATCTGTAACAAACATGTCAGAATGTAAGAGTAGGGCAGTCTCACAGACTGGGTTCTTGGGGAGGCAGACTGAGATGGAGTTTAACATGCAGGATGTTTATTAAGGCAAGTCCGTGGGCTCAGGATGTGCGGGAGGGAGGAGGAAGTGGACAGAGGGAGAAGTCCAGGTGCAGCGCAGGGCCAGGGACAGCCTTGGGCCACCTCACTCAAGCCCTGGAGCTAGAAGAGCCTTCAGGGATGAGCCCAGTTAGACCAACATGGCCAGACCTATACACCCCCTCGTTGATCATTCATTGTCTGTGGGCCGCTGCGGGGGGTGGGGGTGGGGGGGGCAGCAAGAGCTCTGCAGTTGGGGCTGTCCCTGAAGGGGCCGACAGCTGAGGCAGCTGGACAATGTGCCCAGATACTGTGGCAGCAAGGCCACAGCAGAGGGATCTGGGCGGTGCCTCACAGTGTCCACCACACGAAGTATATGTTGCAATAAGAATGAAGACTTAAGACTATATATAATGTGAGACTTCTGGAATCTACGAAATAAAAATTCAGTGATGTGTTGAAGCAGTCTAATTTGGGGGAGCATTTAAGTTACGATAGCCCATAGTTATTTTTAGTACAGATAAAAGGAAAATAAACATGGAAGTACGCTTTTATGTGCATCAGAACTGAGGTGGGATAAGATGTCCTAAGAAACCATAGTTGTCTTGGGTTATGAGACAGTGCCTGCTAGATTTGTGTGGTTGGGGGGTGAGGCAGGGATATAAGGGCTTGCATTTGAAAAATTAGCATATAAGCCTTCAAAATGTATGGGGAATCAACACATTTCCCCATATAGTTTATGCCACATGTTAATGCAACCCTAATTTTCAGAATATGCTTCTGCTGGTATATATAAGAAAAACTGAGAACAAGTCTTCCCAGCAGATTAAAAAAATGGTGTTCATGGATGGAGTCACTCACACCATGTCACGTCACTTTTCAAAGTAATAGGTACCGCCATAGTGCTTTTTAAATTGGGCTCTTTCGGGGCGCCTGTGTGGCTCGGTCGTTAAGCATCTGCCTTCGGCTCAGATCATGATCCCAGGGTCCTGGGATCGAGCCCTGCTTGGCGGGAAGCCTGCTTCTCCCTCTCCCACTCCCCCTGCTTGTGTTCCTTCTCTCGCTGTGTCTCTCTCTGTCAAATAAATAAATAAAATCTTTTTAAAAATAAGTAAATAAATAAACTGGGCTCTTTTCTTCTTTACCTTGGAGGAAGGCTGATTGTTCAGGACAATGAATGCAATTAAGGGTATTTGTCGGGCCTGAAGGAGAAACAGAGCAGAAGTGTGTGTTTCAGAGGCGACAACAGAACTGCCTTCATTTCATCTTGGTTGACATGGGCCCTTTACCAGGGGCCTTTCAGCAAGCTACAGACATGTTTTTCATCTTTCAGGTGTCTAGGAGAACAGCAGGCAGCTGTGCTTGGTGCCAAGAGCTCCTCCCAGCCGGCTGAGAGCAGCAGTGTTGCCATGACTCCCACCTACGTGGACAGCCCACGAAAGGTAAAGGGGACCACTCCAGCACGGAGCTGCCTCGTGCTCTCAGGGACCTGATGTGGAGGGTCGTTCGAATCCAGGGATGAATGTGCTGAGGATTTGGATGAATTCTACCCTGAACCCTCTTAAGCATTATGATTTCTGTGGAAGCAGTTTCTGCTCGCAGTTGTAAGGAAGTTAACTGCTAGATAAATGCAGATACAACATAGTCGAGCTCAACTATATTGGTCAAGTCCCAAGATCTGGCTTGAGCTGTGAAATTGGCCATCTGGTTTTCCTTCAGCCACATCTTTGGCTTTCCCAGACAGGAGGTAGAAAGCTGGTGGGGCAGCTCCTATGAGAGCTCACTCTTTGATAAAGAAATTCCTATCAGTCTGCTTAAACTCCTGAGAAATATAGTCAAATGGAAGCATCTCCTGGGGGAAAAGATCAAAACGTGGGGCCTTGGGCCTCTGTATGGAATAGCAAGTACAGTTAAGGGGCCCAAAACTCCATAGGTCAGGCTTTTTGTATCCTTTAAAACCAATAAACTTGGCTCTGTCTACTCATTCAGGGAAATTCAGAATGTGAGATCATTCTGGTATGGGCGTCACGGTGAGCTGACTGTGCATTCTCTTACCTGGTCTCTATCACTAGAAGATGAAGGAGATTCAATAGATGTATTTTATTTTTCAAAACTGTGGCCAACTTGTATGCTTGTAGATCTATCTATGGATTTGTTTATTTCACTTCCTTACCTTGAAAATTTTCTAGTCGTTAAGTATTTTTCAAAAGCATGATTTTTAAAAAATACATAATATTTCATCATATGGATAGACCTTCATTTATATTTTTTGTTAAAAATGTAGATGATTTTTGATTTTTAAAAAGAAGTTTTGGTAATTATTCCTTAAGTTTTTACAGTTATTCTGCATGGTATCACAATTATAAATAATACTGCAAACTACATCCGTGCACATAATTATTTGACCACCTCTCTTATTATTTCTTTGGGATAAATTTATCCCACAAGGATGGAGGGATTAAAATCCGAGAAAGAGGGACGCCTGGGTGGCTCAGTTGTTAAGTGTCTGCCTTCCGCTCAGGTCATGATCCCAGGGTCCTGGGATCGAGCCCCGTGTCGGGCCCCCGCTTGGTGGGAAGCCTGCTTCTCCCTCTCCCACTCCCCCTGCTTGTGTTCCCTCTCTCGCTGTGTGTCTCTAGCTGTCAAATAAATAAAAATCTTAAAAAAAAAAATAAATAAATAAAATCCGAGAAGGTGTATCAACTGAGATTATAAGCAGCTTATGTATTCTGTAGACCAGAGGTTGGCAAATCTAAATAAACATTTTAGGCTTTGTGAGCCAAGAGGCAAGATCAAGGCTATATGTAGGCACTTTTTTTTTTTTTTTAAATGTTAGGTACTTCTATATCCATTTAAAATTTTAAAACCCACCCTTAGCTCACAGACTGTAATACACCAGTAGCCTGCAGGCTGTAGTTTGCTCACCCAGCTCTAGGAAGTGACTTTAGGTATAGTCCCAAGGATAGTCTCTACATAAAGAATGATCTGTCCGGCAAGAAAGAATCTTTTCACATGTACATAAATCTCAGCAGCATTAGCCCCTCTGCTTCTGTATGTTGTAGCAGGAAGGGACACAGATGAGAATGCATAGGCACCCTGCGTGCTGCCCACTAGCTGTTACCCATACTTACTGCCATCTTTGAGGATGAGAACCAGTGTCTGGGACAGGCCTGAGAAGTAGGGAACTTATAGAACCACAAGCATTAAGGTTAAAATGCACCAGTGGCCAAATATTAGATGGCCGTTTAGAACATTCTTCTCATTTTCCAACTGAATGCTAAAATCCACCTGGATGGTTATCATTTGTGGCAGATGTAGATCCCCAGATGGTCAAAGGGAAGCGAAGATGTTTTGAGGTGGTCAAAGGGAAGGCCTCTAGGTGACACACTCAGAAATGCCAACAGTGTTTCCAGTTAGCATCTTGTGTTAGGGTGCGGAGAGTGGTCCCTGAAATTGCATCTCCATAGCCACGCGTGTCCATGGTTTGTTAGTTGAGTTCAAAGTGGTTGATGGGAAATGGCAGCAGTATTGATAAAATGGACCCCTGCATAGTTCAGTGATTCTACTTTGAGAATTGAAGAAAAGTTGTAAGAAAGCGGACCTTCAGACTTATCAAGTGCCATTTCCAAATTTCAGTGATAAAATTTAACTAAAAAGTAAAAATATTTGGAAGGGACAAGAGGACACTTCTTGACTTTAAGAAAGATGAAAGGAGGGGTCTTCGAGAAAGTCCTCTATGTCATTTTTGTTTCAAATACAGGGCAGCCTGGACCCCACAAGACTAGGGTTAGGAGGAGAAGGCCGCTTCAGAACTCTCCCACCTCCCCACCCCCACCCTATGAATGCATATGTTTCTGACACTATATATGTCTCAACTCCTTGGTTATTTTGTTACACAAACCAGTGGAGGAGAAGGTATTGCTGCTTCTGGATCCCAACTTTTCCTGCTGTTGAATCCTCTTCTCCCATCTGGCTGCCATGTTTATTAACTGAAAACCTCAAACCTCTGTATGTCTCCAAGAGGGCTGCTGGTCACCCAGCCAGGTGGGAGGCCAGGAAGTAACCCCTGAAGGCTTTCCCCCACCATCCCCACCAAGCAGCTCTGTGGCCTTTTCCTCTCCCTTGACATAGGTCTGAAGAAAGTTCAGAGCTATGTGGGAGGGTGCGACATCCAAGCCAGGCTCTGATGAGACCTGAGGGAGCTTGGACGCACCTTCTATCCCTGTGCTTGCTCCCACACAGATGGGACATTCTGCCCAGGAAGGTGTGAGTTCCCGCTAATGCTTTGCATTTGGATATGGTCCTTCTGGGTGGATCTCTCTCTCTCTCTCTGTTTCCCCTCCATTCCCCTCACGTGCCCTTGTTTCTCTCTTTCCCTCCTTGTTTTTATTTTTATTTTTTTCTTTCGCCACCCCCCCCACCCCACCCCCGACGGCTCACCACGGGTCCACACTCACCCCTTCACTCCCTCGCATTCGCTGCTGCTGCTGCTTCCTCCTCCTCTGACTTCAGGATGGGGCCTTCTTTATGGAGTTTGTCCGCAGCCCGCGCACAGCGTCGTCCGCCTTCTACCCACAGGTCAGTCAAACTCCGAGGGCTCTGCAGCCCGGGCATGCCTGTCCCATCAGCAGAGGCCTTCTGCTCGGCTCTGAACACATGGAAGTGGGCTGAAACTGAGTTTGAAGGGCAGCTGAAATTGAATTCGGTCTCAGAGGTGTGCAGTCCCTTCCGCGGGGTCGGCAGCGGCAAAGGGGGATGCAAATGGTTAATGCAGGAGAGCAGACAAGCACATCAGCATTGACGCTCGTGTGTCCCAAGTCTGCCTGTCTGTTCCGCGTGGTTGCCACTGAGTCTCTGCCACATCAGCAGCATCTTCCCTTTTAGATGTTTTGTCCATATAATATAAGCAACGTAAAATATGCTTTCTTAAGAACTGAACACTTAACTTTTTTCCTCCAAGTACAACCTGATAAATTCATAGCAGTGTGACAGGAAGTGGTGGAGAAACAACAAACATTTATTAATAGGCATACGCTTCGTCATAGGCTAGTGGTGGATGAACCTGGGCAGCTCGCCTCGCCTCTGGACTTCCCTTAACTCATTTGTCAAATAAAGGGTTTAGACCAGACCTCCATAGGCCTTCCAAGACTAAACAGTCTTCAGTTGCTCTGTGCCAAACACGTAGTATTCTCTCATTTCATCCTCACTACATGGCCTGTGAGTTAATTTATCCTAAGTTGATACATGGAGAAATTGGAGGACAAAGAAGTTGTGCTTTACACAGTACGGGATAGAGCTGGGATTTAAATCCAGGACCAACAGGCTTGACTTGTGACCCCTGCTCTGTAATTGGCTTTAGTAATTACTGTTCTGATAGGTCCTAGGGGAAGAGAAACTGGACTCTCTGCCCTTTATTGAGGCCCCTAAGTATATGAAATTGACTTAGTTACAGAGATTTGAAAGAGTTGAGAGGGTTTATGGAGGAACAGGTGGACTAAGGAGGACAGGACTTGGGAGGTTCAAGGGCAAAGGTTAAGGGATCCCTATTTGGTGAAAGTCAGAAAGCCAACATTGAGTCCTTACTCTGTTGGCTACTTTGCAAAGGGCTTTGCACACACAGTCTTCGCAACAGTCTATGAGGTGTAGATGTTATCACGCCATTTTCCAGATAAAGAAACTGAGGTTTAATACATTATCTGGTCAAAGGCACACAAGTCGTGAGTGGCTGAGCCCCTGCACCATTTAGCACACTGTGCCTGGAGGGAAAGGGGGTAGTGAGCATTGGAGTCTTCCCTTTCTTAAGAGGTCGGATGGTGCTATGCCTGTCTGTGCAGGTCTTCAGAGGTCTGTGCTTGCCTTTTCCCAGTGAGCTGTGTGACCCTGGCCAAATCCCAATTGGGATCTGAGTTCTAATCAAGAATCTCTGATCTCTGAGTGTGGGAGGCACGCTGCATTTTTGGTGTAAATCAAACTCAGGGTGGAGTTATTAACCTTTTACTTTCTAACAAGAGACTCTGGTGAAAAGTTTTGGACTTGGGTTAGAATTTAACATACGAAAAATCAGCAGAGCCAGAAGAGAATTGTTTTATAAGTCCCGTAATAATGTAGCAGTCCCCACAGCTTCACATGGCGGAATTCCAGATGGAACAAAAATGACAAGTTCCCACAGTTGGAAATCACATATAAAAATGAGCTGTTGGGAGAGGCACGTGAATAAAGTTTATATGACCGACCAAGTGTGTTGTTAAGCTTACACATAAATCAAAAAATTGTCTCTGCTCATATATAGTGAGGGATCCTCTATACTGATACAAATGAAATTGTGCTTGATTTGTTTTTGTTTGTTTTATTTATTATTGTTGTGTTAAAATATACGTAACATGGAATTTGCTGTGTTTGTTTTCTAACACGGTGCATGGAGAGGGGCACTGAAGTCAGAGGGCTCCCTTCAGGTTTCGTCTTCAGCACTGTACCAGGGAGCTGCTTTAGGCATGTGAATTAACCTCCTGAACCTCAGTTTCCTCATTTGAAGGAAATAAAAATATCTTCTTTGTAGTGTAGTTTTGAGGATTAGAAAGAATATGCATTTCTCAACAGACTTCAAGGGAATGAAATCCTATAAAGCATTTTTCTGTGCACCAAGCATTTAAGTAACAGGTCAAGGACAACTAGATAACTAGAAAAGCCCCACGTATTTGGAAACTAGGTAACACACTTCTAATAATGCCTGAGGCAGAAACAATATTGCATGTTGCATGGGATGTGGTGGCCAGATACTGGCTGGGATTAGGATAGGATTCCTACGGTGCCAGGTTTCTGTGTCCATTTCAGACAGCTGCTTATTAGAGCCTACTCCCCCATTCCTGCAGCCCCTGCTCTCCATCCTAATTCCCAGACCAGGAAGTACGAAGAGTGGGTCATGAGCTCCTTAAGAGAATGGTGCTACATGTTAAAAGACTGTCAGTAGGGGCACCTGGGTGGCTCAGTTGGTTGGGCATCTGCCTTTGGCTCGGGTCATGATCCTGGGGTCCTGGGATCGAGCCCCACGTTGGGCTCTCTGCTCGGCAGGGAGCCTGCTTCTCCCTCTCCCTCTGCCTGCCACTCTCTCTTTCTCTGTCAAGTAAGTAGATTTAAAAAAAAAAAAAATTCTTAAAAAAAAAAAAAGACTGTCAGTGTGGAGGCTCTGGCGTCAGACTGGTTGTGAGCCTTTGGCAGCTATACTAACCTCCTTGAACCTCAGGTTTCTCATCTGCAGAATGGGATTAATTGTGTTTTCTTTGTAGGATTGCTGTGAGAGGGAACTGAGATGAAGCATCTGTGTGGTTAGCTCAGACCCTGGCACGTAGTAAATTCCCCATACATGTATCTATGTGTGGGAGAGGGGAGGGAAGACAGGGGCTGGGGGTACCAGGTAGTGAACCAGCTTGATTGGGCCAGTCAGCTATTTTCCCTGAGTGTGTGCGTGTGTAAAAATGTGCTGGGCCTGGGTGACCTCTCCTATGCCTTTTATCTCTGAAATTCTGGCGTGACCCTGTTGGACCTCATAAAAGTAAGTCCTGCAGCTCTGACTGAGTCGCCAGGGTGTTGCCTGTGATTTTTGTCCTTCACAATAGCTCTCTGCTCAGAAGGGGTTCCTTGTGGCCAAGGGGGAGGAGGGCATCACCTAGACTCTGACACTGCTCACGGTAGGAAGTGCCTGTAAAATTAAAACAGACAGCTGTGCGCAGAGGGTTCCAGGGAACAGGGCCGTGCACCAGTCTTGGAAAATAGGTTCCTTGTGCCACCAGTTCATCATTCTAATGATAATGAACACGTCACTCTGTCCGATAACTGGAACAGAACAACACAGTTCTCTCTGTGCCCTGCTCTCTGGAAATCGATTTTTATCATCACAAACTTGACACAAGAATTTGGAGGGCATGAGAAGCCCTTGGTAATGAGATTTTCCTCAGAAGTCAGCCTGATATCTTTAGTCTGCAGTTTTGGAGCCTGAAGGAATATCACAGTCAAGCGGAACAGGCTCCTGCCACCTGAGGCCTGAGCTGATGTTAGGTTCTCTTTCCTCCCCCCATTCCCTGACCCCCAGCCAGTTACTCTCACAAGCAGGCGTGGGTCTCAGGGGCTCAGTCCAGCAAGAACTCACCTGCTTCTCTCTTTCACTTCCATCACCACCGCCCCACCCCCAGTCCCTATGACCATTTCTCACCCTGGTTCTGAAGGAGCCTCCAGCATGGTCTCCTTGCTTCCATCCTGGCCCTCGGCAGTCTGTTTCCCAGCCTGCATCCAGGGTTTACCTTTCCACAGTGTATTAGCTTGGACTGCTGTAACAGAACACCACAGACTAGGGGCTTAAACAGCGCATTGGCTTCTTATGGTTCTGGAGGCTGAAAAGTCCAAGATCAAGGTGCTGATACATTCACTTCCTGGTGAGGGCCCTCTTCTGGCTTGCAGAGGGCTACCTTCTCCTATGTCCTCAGGTGGCAGACAGAGCGAGCTCTGGTCTCTCCTCTTATGATTAATCCCATCATGGCTTTACCCCCATGGCCCCATCTAAACCTAATCAGTTCCCAAAGGCCCCACCCCCAAATATAATCACTTACGGATTAGGGCTTCAACATCTGAATTTTGGGGGTACACATTCAGTCTATCCTTTCTTTCCTTTAGGATAAAGGCCAAAATCCTTATGATGGCCTGGAAAGGCCTGCATGATCAAGGCCCTCCCTCCCTTTCCAGCCTCATCTTCTGTCATCCTCTTCCTCACTCTTGGACTCTAGTGACAGGAGCCTTTCTCCACACTGCTCTAGGCACCAGGTTTCCTGCCACAGTGCCTTGGCACACAGTATTCCTTCCCTCTGTGCCTGGTTAACTCCTAGCCATCTAGTCAAATCCTACATCTTAGATTCACATAGCTCCGGTGCGCCTCCTTTCCGCTCTTCTCCCAGTTCTACCTCTGTGTTTGTATGACTGGGATTTGATTAGTGCCCAACTTCATGAGACCGTAAGCCTGTAAGCACCCATAGGGCGGCTGCCATGTCTGTGTTGCCCTGTTGATTCTTCAGCACCTAGCCTGGCATTTAGGAGTGGCTCAGTAAGTGCTGTCTTAGACATACTGATGGCGGAGATAGACACAAAAAATGTTTATTTAAACAATGGAACAAGAACAAAAAAAGTGGAACCCTTTTTTTTCCTGGTGGATAAATTACACCAAACCCTGAACTATCACCCAACAAACAGAACATTCTGGCTTAAGTATGTGGGAGATTGGAGAAGGGTCCCAGCCCCCAGCAGGGGCGCCCTGTGATGGCCCCAGCAATGTACCGCAGGCCCCCAGGCTTTTGCAGAGTGCACTTTGAAGCCACGGCTGTTAGGGCCGCAGTTTTCTGCATGCTCGTGGGAGCCCTGGGAAGTCAGAGTCAGTGACCGAAAGTGGACTTTTTACCCTTTGATCTGTTTTCTCTCTTTGGAGACATGAGTGAACAAAAAGCTCATGTCCCTGGGGGCTCAGTTCCCCCCACCCCTGGAGGACCTTAGGGTCATATTAATCAACTGTTGCCCTCTTCTAAACCCTCCACCGTCAGTCAGGTTCTTATCAGAAATCTATGTGCAAGACTTTCGCCAGGAGCACAGTTTTACCTGCAGGACATTCATTTCATTCCCAGCTCCTGAAAACATGTTCAGCCTTGCTGTGCATTTTTAATTTTTGAAGTGGTTGGAAATATTTAAAAATCAGGAGGTTTCATACAGAAACCAGGTTTCTGTCTTGTATTATAAAATAAGCTAGACATGGGGCCTGGCTTCCTTCCCGGCAACAGTCATAGGGCCTTGGAGCAGCCCGTGGCCTTTCCTTTTCTTTTCCTTTTTTTAATAGCCAGCTGTGCCAATATAGATCTACGGTCCCTATACATATTTTTGTTTGCCACCTTTGCTCTAGAGCAGTGTTGTCCAATAGAACTTTCTGCCCTGATGGAAATGTTCTGTATCTGTGCTATCCAACACAGATGGCTAGTCACACATGACTAGTGAGCGTTTGACAAGAGGCTGGTGCAACTGAGGAACTGAATTTTACATTTTATTTTAATTAATTTATATTTGAATAGCCACATATAGCTAGTAGCTACTGTATTGCATGGAACAGGTCTAGACATTTAAAATGTTATCATCGAAGTACTTATTGAGACTCTAGAATGTCACATTTTTCCTACCCTTGTTTACTCTTTTTCTCGCTTTTTCTATCATTGTTCACTGGATTTTCTCATGTATTTATTTTATCTTATTATATGTCTATTTATTGATAATCTCTTCCTTTTTTTAGAGTGGTGCTGAGATATGAAAATATAAATAACCACTCAGAATCAGAGGCTGGGATGGACATATAGAAGAGGGAGGCTGTACCTGTGAAGAAAATGTGGTTCAATTGAGATCAGAAATCCCGAGCTCCTCCTGGGCGTAGAGCTGTCCTAATATGGACATTCCTTGTCTAATGTCTATTTTTCCTTCCCACTCCCAGATGGCAAGCTCCATGAGGGCAGGGGGGAGAGGTTTGATTGGAAGGATATTCTGTCCTTCCCTGATATTACAAACCTTGGGAAACCTGGCTATGGAGCTGGGAGTTATTCCCGAGCTCTCTGAATATGAGATTCTGTCACGGGTCCCTTTATAATGCCTCTAAATGCCCTAAAGGAGCCAGGTGAGGGGAAAGCCCATTTTGTCTCCGGGTAAGACATAGCAGTATGTTATGTCTACCCACCCTCAAGGTACAGTTAGAGTGCTGGGCTGGCAGATCTGGCAGCTTCCTGGTGGCTGACGGTCCTCCAGCATAAGAAAGTGGGGCTCTGACAGGCACACAAGTTGGAGGGTCCTTGGGGGTGCCTGTTGTGGATGGTGCTAACCTCTAAGACATCCCTGGTGGAGCTCCATCCCTCATCTTCTCCCATGGCTTTGGGCATGTGGGAAAGGGGAAGGAGACTGGGGATTGGTGTTGCTGATGAGGGTTTGTTTGTTTAGTTAACTAAATCCCTGATTTTATTTGGGTTTCACCAGTTTTTCTATTAATGTCCTTTTTCTGTTCCAGTCTCCAATCCAGGGGTACCAAGTTGCATTTAGTTTTCATGTCTCCCCAGTGTCCTCTGGTCTGTGACAGTTTCTCAGTCTTTCCTTGTTTTTTAATGATGTAGAGAGTCTTGAGGAGCCTTGGCTAGATATCCTGCAGAATGCCTCTGATTCTGGGCTGGTTTGATGTTTTTCTCATGGTGGAGTTATAGGTTCTTGACAGGAATACCTCAGCGGTGAAGTATGCTTCTCATCACATCATACCAGGGGGTACATGGGATCCACACATCACTGGTCACAGGAACCTTCATCACTTAGTAATATAGTATTTGTCAGCTGTCTCCATTATGAAGTTACTATTTTTCCCTTTCTATACTCTGTTCTTTGGAAGCAAGTCCCTAACTGTAGCCTACTCAAAAGAGGACAGAGAGATTCAACTGCAGCTCCTGGAGGTGGGGGTGTCTACGCAAGTTACATGGAATCCCTCTGTAAGGAGGATTTGGGACAAGGTTCTTAAAATGGAGTTGCCTCTGGGGTGTCTGGCTGGCTCAGTTGGTGGAGCATGTGACTCTTGATCTCCGGGTTGTGAGTTTGAGCCCCACTTTGGGTGTAGGGATTACTTTAAAATAAAATTTTTTTTTTTTAATGGAGTTGCATCCAACACCAAGCACCTCCCTCTATTTGCCTTTTCTAGGCCTCTGCGCAAAGACTGCCCTTCTGTCTATCCAGCTTTCCTTGGCTTTCTGTTTATTCCAGAAAGTTACTTCAGGTGCATTACAGAAGTAAATGCAACCTCCAGAATAAAATGTGACTAAATGGGGAAATACAGGAAAAGAAAAACATAAGATAGGACGTCATCTGAGGTCTTATAAATTATCTAGAGTTTTGTGCTAAATTCAGTCCTGAACTCTCTGGGAGCCAAAGAAAAGTGGGAAATATCTATTCCAGGATTCAGAGTGGTCATAAGATAAAGGCAAACCATTTGCTCAGGGGAAGCATAACCTTTCATGGTATTAAGATCTAAGCAGCCTCTTGAAAGATGGACATCATATGATATAGTACAGGCGGTCAGGAAGCTATGGGGCAAATCTGACCTACCATCTGCTTTTTTAAAGAATTCTTACCGGAACAGAGCCACGCCCATTCATTTACATTGTCTGGCTGCCTCTGTCCTTCATGCTGAGTTGAGTAGTTTCAACAGGGCCATCTAGCCCACAAAGCCTAAAATAATTTGCTCTCTGCTCCTTTACAAAAAATGTTTGCCAATTTCTGATTCAGAGGATAACTCCTGAACCACATTCCTGCTAAAATAAAGCTGTAGGAATCATGTAAATTTCTGGCAGTTTAGGCTGGTGGGGCAGTTCTCAGGTGCTGTAGATGAGAGTTAACCCCACTGTAGGGGTCTGGAAGGTAGCACCTAAGAGCTGGGTCTAGCGCCCCTCAGTTAGCTTCTTCTCATTTAATTTTATGGTAAAGTACCTGTTTCTAAGTCTTGCTGGTTAGAGGCAGATGGTGATTGGTAATTGCAAGCTGCTTCTTGCCGCATTTCTCTGTGTATTTATGGTACTAGCAAAGTCTGTGTGGTCTTTTTGCAAATCACTGAGCCTGATGTAGGAGAATGGTTCTTTAAGAACTGGGGGCAACTTTGTGTCCCAGGGCACATTTGGTTGTATCTGGAGGTATTTTTAATTGTCACAGCTGGGAATAGGGGGTGGTGATGGGGGGCTGGTGTTACCAGCATCTAGTAGGTGAAAGCCAGGGATGCTGCTCAACATCTTATAAGGCACAGGACAGCGCCCCCCCCCCAGACTCATCTAGCCCCTAATGTCAGTGTTGCCAAGGTTGGGACACCCCATTTTAGAAGGAGTGACTTTTACAACATCCAACAAAATATTTGGTAATAGAGGGCTCCATTCGGAAGTACTTAAGAACCCCATGTAAGAGGGACGAGGAGTAAGATTTTTCCTGGAGTGCTCTGAAAGGCTTGCTAGTCTCTCCAGATATCTGCTGTGAGGTACAGTACAGCCCTTCTAGGTGAACAGGTCATAGTCCTGTGCTCCAAGACGTTTAAAGGGAATGAGACCGATATAATATTACATGAAGCAAAATTTGGCACCTGCCAGGAGGGGGTTATAGAGATCCAAAGTAGAGAGTGAGAGAGATGGTTTTCCTTTGGGAGCTGGGGTGGAGTCAGAAGACATTTTACTGAGGGAGCAGCGTTTGAAATTGCCCTCAAGACTGATGGGTTTTTAGCCTGTGGTTGAAAGGAAGGGCACCTCAGGTCGGCGGAACACACAGATGGGATTAAACACACGGGGTCTCATTTGGCTGGAAATGTGTATGTGGGTGAGTGGCGGGCCGTGCAGGGCCATCACAGGTCAGGGCTGTTTGTGTTGGACCCACAAGGCTCTGCAAGTTTGGTAACTCATGGGGAGACCTGAAAGATTTCAGAGTCACGGAGTGATGGGATTAGAGCTGTTTTTTTAGCAGGATGAAAATGGAGGTGGCTGGCAGGTAAGGTCTTCAGGGGTAGAGGCTGCAGTCGGGGGAGTCGGGTGGGAGACTGTTACAGCCTCCCCTGGGAGAACAGGCGTGACTTGGACATACATTTGAGTCGGCAGAGGTGAGCGAGGCCACAGGACTAGGCCTCTCTTTAGACGTGAAGCTGGAGAAGGAAGGGAGCTATCAGATGCCTCTGAGGATTGAGCCTGGGCACTTAGCAGGTTGACTATCCCACTGACAGACACAGGAAAGGAGGTTTGGGGTGGCAAAGGGTAAGCCATGGTGAGGGAGGGCACTTGCTGGGATATTCACCCATTTGTCTCTAATTGTGTTCTCTCTCTCCCGCTTCTCAGTCTCACAGGAATGCTTCTGCCTTCCTTACTATTTCTGTGGAGATTTTTCTTTAGTGTAAATCTGTGGTTTGAGTCAGGTGCTGGAGCCATTTCTTTGGTTCTGGGGATTCACTGTGAATGACGGTTTCCTATCAGCCGTGGTGTGGGGTGCAGGAATTCATGAGACTGGGCTGGACCCCTTTAGCTCTTCCACCAGGGACCACTGGGGACTGGGAAGGAGAGAGGAATGGGAAGGATCATGTGTATAAATAGCCTTAAACAATTTTTTTTGTTCATTTTCAAATCCCCTACAGGTGTCTGTGGACCAGACGGCCACCCCAGTGTTGGACAGCACCAGTTTGGGGGTAAGCACAAGCCAATCTGTGGATAGAGGCAACAGCCAGGCCTTTGGGAACTCCCAGAACTCAGGGGAACAGAGCTTCCCCTCTGCAAACTCCGGTGACAGCAGGTGAGATTCAGAATGACCGAACTTATGCTCCTGGGCACTGGGGATGGTCTGGTCTCAAAGGCTGTGGAGCCTGGGAGTCCAGAGTCCCAGACCCACGTTCTGACTCAGCCATGAGTTCTACCTGGAAGCCCGGGGCACTCAGGTCTTAGCAGCACCTATTTGATGGGGCTCAGGATCTGTGCCCTGCCTGCCGTACCAGATAGCTAACAGGTGCCCACAGAGACACAGGAAAGTGTCAGACATTGTGCAGGAGTGGGCTTTGGGAAAGGGGCCAGGACCCAGTCTGTCCTGTTGAGTCTGGCACCCAGCATGACACCTGGTGCGTGACTGCGGACGTCAGTATCGACAGCTTGAGGAAATGAATGAGCAGCAGGTTGTACCCGACCACGGCTGTCCTTTTCCTATTCCTGAGTTTCCAGAGGAAAAAGAAGCTGCTTGGACCTCATTTACTTGAGAAAGAGCCTCAGCTTTTAATGCGATTCGTCACATCTGAAAAGCTTCTTTTTTTTTTTTTTAAAAGATTTTATTTATTTATTTGAGAGAGAGAGAATGAGAGACAGAGAGCATGAGAGGGAGGAGGGTCAGAGGGAGAA